TCAGGGTAGCCAACAGTGCGCAGGATGAAAGGGATCCAGCTCTGACGCAGGAAAAGTCCGATTAATTTCCACCTACACTAGCACAGGACTAGGCTTGGTTGAATTCGTAGTAACAGACACGGTTGAGCGCTTGTCTAATGTCAAGAAATAATGCAGAGCAGGACTCCTTGCGTTCGAAGCCTTGAAGCCTAATATGCTGTCGATAAGCAGGTGAGAATACTCCCGAGTGTCATGGCCTGGTATTGGGTTTTCTTCAAAACCACTGACCCGCACTGATGAGACTAGGGTTTGCTCTGTTTGGAAATCAGAATCAGTTGGGTGGATATTATTTATTTCCCATCAACAAATAAAGCTGCCGATGTAAAAAATAAATCAATACAATAGAGAGCTTAAAAAAAATTAAATTAAAGAGGCCTATAAAAATTGCAATAATATTTTATAACGAATTCGACTCGGTGGGGAGATATTATTTGATATAGTCAGAGAGCTAACAAAAAAGAAATGAAATAAAAAATCCAAAACAGGTACAATTAAATTAAAATAATAAATTAAAAATACTTTCATAATAAAAGATACAAATATAATTAAAAACTAATAAAAAGGAATCACTGATACTCACAGCAGTGATCATCAGCGATGCTACCTGGAAATAGAAGACATGGGTGAGGGAAGGGGGAGGCTCGCTTGAGAATAGGAAGCAAAATGTATTATAATTAGAAAAGGATCTGTAAAGCAGAGAGGCAAAAAGTTTCTTGTTGGCCCGGAATTATTAGTAGTATGTAGTATGGTTTTGCTCTACGTATCTACATTGAATATTTAAGTGTGTTATAGCCATGTGATGGATTAATTATGGAAATGACAATTTAACATTGTTTGAGTGAGTAGAGGAAATGAATGGAATTGAAAGCCAAGCACTGCGTATATACTTACATACACGGAGTATATGATTCGTATAATTTGTCACATGAAATTTCCGGTCACATGTCTATACCTACATCCGTATGCACGCGCAAACAAGCACGTGACAAGGACAAAAAAAAAGGGCAACCTTAGGTACACGTAAACTGTTTCGTATGCGTGTGTGTGAGTGTGAGTGTGTGGGCGTCTTGTTGGTCTAAAACTGAAAAACGCTCTCCGCTTCGATAGCTGTTTAATATGCATAAACTTGGCAACTGCCAACAGACACACACACACGCATACCCAGAGGAAGTGTTCCATAGTCAGTAGTTGGTAGTTGGCAGTTGGAAGTTGGAAGTTGGTAGTCACGCCCATTTATCGCCCACGGCCATGTGTCAACAGATTTGTCGTCATTCCATTCTCTACGTGCGTGTTTGTGCTCCTGCTTCCGCTTCTTCCTCTTCCTATTCTTCTTCTTTTTTTGCTGCTCTTCTTGTTCATCGTTCATCGTTCGTCCTTCGTCCCATGTTGGCAGCCCTCAGAGAGACTGCTTTTTGTGCCCCCTAATTGGTTGCTCTGTGTGTTCCTTCAGTGCACAAAACTTTGCATAATTTTTGGCGTTTTGCTAAAATTGTGTTCGCAGTTGTTGTTGTTGTTCTTGTTGTTATTGCCTTAGCTATTGCTTTTTTATGAGTTTGTATTATTATTTTTGTTTTACTGCCAGCACACACACACACACGCACACACATAAAACTGCACCTTAGTAAGTATTATAATACCAAGCAGCTGGTGCTAATTACACACTCCTACAAAATTATGAAAGTAATTTGGAATTAAATTATTTGTGTCTAGTCCGGACAGAATACTTCTAGTTATCTAATGTTTTTTTTTGCCAACTTCTTTTGGTTTTTAAACGACTTTAAAAAAGGAGCAGGTTCTCAATTCGTATTTTTTTGTGTTTGTTACCTCACTACCTCTCAATATACCTAGCAATAATATAGCAATAATAATGCGAGAATAATTTAAAAACTATTTTTTTAAAATTAACGTTTATACGAAAGACAAGATAGTTGATAGTTCCCCTTTCGTCGCTGTCTATGTATGTAGTTACAAATCTATGTACCTTGGCTGACATCGATTCAAAAAAAAATAATAATAGTACCAACATTATTGTAGGTATTGTTCTTATTATTGTTTTGGAATAGTTTTTTTGGACGTCGGTTTTTTTTTTAATTTTTCTTTATTTTTAATTGAAGACAACATTGTTTCTTTGATAAGTTTACAAAAATATACCAAAATATTTGTATTGCCTTACCATTGCGTTTGGCAGTTTTGAACACAGAGAAACGCTGGTCTTCGATACAAATTATCAGTTGCTTGCGGAATAATTGTCCACAAAAATATTCGTTCATTTTGATTTATTTACGAGTATAAAAAAATAAAACAAATATCTTTACAATGATAGGAAGAACCTAATTGTGGAATCTCTTCAATGACATACAAATTTCATAGGAGAGCACTTGCTCATTTGATTTGGCGAGGTAGTCTCAAGAAGCCAATAATCAATCAATCTTAATTTTAACTTTTTTAATTAGATTCAAATATTAGATCGATAATCAAGTCTCATGATGACCAGCTTAAATTCATTTAAATATTAATTAATGAAATTCAAATATTTTCTACTCTGTACATGAAGTAGTTTCCCAAGTAAAGATCCATCTTACACCATACTTTTAATTCACATTTCCACGTTTAGTTTTCAGTTACTGTTGCCATAAAATGTGTAAAGTTTTTTTTTTAACTTAAACCGTATAGAAATTTGAGGCTACCATTTTGAAAGAAGTAAAGTGTTTCATGCTGAGCCCAATTGTATCCCATTTATGTGTTGAAATTTTATTAAGCCCAATGCAGACGGTGAGTGTCCGGCCAAGACAATTTTCACTGTGCTCTTAATTGCCAGCTCAATATTAATACAAATATGTGCAACGGACCTATATCAAAACTATTTATTTTGAAATTTTCATCAACATATTCGAAATATAAATTGCTAGTTGTTCCTGTTTCGTAGACATGCTTATCACATTTATTTTAATTCTACAACTAATATTTGCTGATGTATATATGAATAGAAAGTATTGTAAATAGAAACTGCTAGCTTTTCCGAATTGTGCGATTTAAAAAGTTTTCCCGAATCTAGAGAGGAATCAAAACAATTTCGTTTACACTTTGTTTTGAATATTATTCATATTAAAATCACTAATTGAATATGTTTTTAGTAAAATTTACGATGTTTATATTTGATTTGAATATGAAATAATAGAACATTAAATTTAATCTGAAAATATTCATCTGGCTGCGACTAGTTGCGTTTTATTCCCTGGCGATCGCTTTTTTCTACAATGTTCTCAGGTGTGATGTTTCCAATTTCTCGCATTCGACGACTTCGTTGCCGATATTGTGTGCTCCTCTTTATTTGGCATCCCTATACTCTAGTTTTGATGACATCAGCTGCTCTATATTTATAAACTAAATCCATTTTATTTCTTTTCCTATTGACTGTATAATTGGGTATTTTGTTTTAATGTTGCTCCTAAGTGGACAGAGCTTGAATGTAATTGTTGGCTCATTTAGTTTAAACTCATTCAACGATTCAACAATGTTGCTGTTTATCCTTCGAACAGTTTATTTTTTCGCTCTTTCTTCATCTCTTCCTTTCACTCTCTCTCTTTTTTTTGCTGCGCATCTTTCATCATTTGTGTGTGTATGTGTGAGTGCAAAGCAATTTGTGTTTATTTTTATGCTGCTCATAAGCGTGTGCCTGTCAGCCTGTTTGTCAGTCTGTCTGTCAGCCTGTCTGTCTATCAGTTGTATGTATGTATCTGTGTATTTGTGTGTGTGTGTGTGTGTGTATTTATGCTCAACGTGCTGTAAATGCGAAAACAAAAAGTTAACCAAAAAGCAATGCAGCAACGGCCTCTGGCGCGTGGCTTTTCGGTCTTGCCGCAACAGCCAGCTACAGAGAGAGAGAGAGAGAGAGAGAGAGAGGGAGAGGGAGAGGGAGAGGGAGAGGGAGCAGCGCCCAGCGACCCATCCGTATGATTTGAGCCTCCCTTCTAACCACGATACCCGACAGCAGGACATGGCCACGACCTGTTTTATATTCAAAACAGTTATGCTGCTATTTTATTTCATCTGATTTTTACACATGAATTAATAAAAACACTCATTATACCCTTTTGGGCAAAGCAAGTGTATTACCCCCTCCCCCTCCTCCACCCAGACACACACACACACACACACACACGTTGCTTTGACATGGCAAGTTTTTGGGTCAGGCAATGTTGTTCTTGTTGTTGTTGCTGCACAGACAGCTGGCTGGCTGACTGACTGACTGACTTTGTTGTTGGCTGCCTTAACTGGCACACATGTGCGTATGAGTAATGTTAAATGTAAACCGGCTGAAAATTTGCATATATGCAACACTCTGTGGGCTAATTTGCATGGGTGGGTGGAGAGTGCTCAAGGGAGAGTATATACAAGTACATACATACATACGTGTGTGTGAGTGTCTCTGAATGTGTGTGTGTGAGTTTGCCGCTTTTGTGGTTCCATTTTTACAACGCTGGTAAATTTTTATAACTTTTGCATACTTTGGGGCGTCTTTTAACTTGCATTTGGAATACGTTAAATGCTCACTTTTTTTGTTGTTGCTGCTGTTGTTGCTGTTGTTGTTTGAATAGCAAAGCCTGACGGAGCGCTTTATGGCCAAGGTAATAAAACGAGTTATATTTTTGGCAAGCTCTCGGGTCGCCTGCGGTTTTTATGTTCGGCTTGTTAAGCTCTGCCCAACAACAACAACAACAACAACAACAAATTCCAGGCGTGCAATTAGAAAACAAAAAAGCAAAAGCCCTTTGCTGCTCAAGTGGCTGTGGAGTGGAGCTCGAAGCCGCCATAAGCCGCAACAAAGGACGCGAGCGCTTCTTTAATGTATACTTATATACTACATATACACGAGTATATATATATTTATATTTATTGGTGCTTGATGCATACTTTCTGCCACTCGTTTATAAACCTTAAGTTCCGATCATCTCTTGCAGGGGCAGCCAATCCAAGGCAACCAACCGCAGCAAAACCAATTTCAGGTAAGACTACAAAAATAATTTGCCTTTTATCTAAATAAAATGTGCAGCTGCTTTTCGAAAAAGCTAAATACTTGCCAAAACAAAACGTTTTTGTAATTCAATTACCTATTTCAAATAGAAATGCAAGTTGTTGGTACAAATTTGTATCTGATACGAAGAGTATGTACCAAGCACCTACATATATATTTGTTTTGTACATATATTTTTCTTCTACAAAGCTACAAAAATTCAATAAATTATTTGGAAATCAAACTGCAAGGCGTTGCTAAAAATTTGTATCCGATAGCATATTGTTTTGTAGTATATTTTTCTTTCGTAAGCTACGAACTTTCTGTATAAGTTTATTCAACTTATGGCAACTAAAAAACCCACAAACCACTCCCAAACGTTTAAACATTTTGGAAATACTATTCGGTGACGAGCTTGCTTTTTAATAATAATTTTAATTAAAACATTTAAACAAATCAAAAACAAGCAACTTAGAATCGAAATCAATTTCAATGAATTTACCTTTTTTTGACGATTTTTATTGATGATATATCCACCCTAGCTAATATAGCAGTCAAACTGTTTAACATTTTTCTATAATCGTAAAGATGTTTCAATGAAGTGTTTGGCGGTGATTTAAACAATTAGTTTTTAGGGATAATTAGGGATTATATTTTAAAAAGAAAAACAATCAACGGGGCAAGTATTATGTACTCAAGAAATCAAAAAAAAAAGGGACGCTTTTGACGAAGAAGGGAGTGATTTAGTCTCCTCTGTTTATTTCCTTTTTTCTAAAAAAAAAAGAAACATTACCTCAGTAGCAAACAATTAGAGGTGAAGGTGTAGAGAATGCGCTTGATAGCTATTTGAAGAAGCTCGAAGTTTCTCACTTTAAAAAGGGCATCGAAGCTATTAATATGGCTGAGAAAGGTGTAAGATGATTTTTCCTCATTTTTCTGCATTTTTGTTTTTAGGTCGGAAATTTCTGGGACATCACTTCTTCTTACTTCTTATGCTTTTGTCAAACGATGTCAGACACAATGCATTATATAGTGAATTGATTATAATATCCTATTCTATTCAACAAAGACTTTTCGGCTATTCTCATTTGTTGTGATGAGCAGATAGATCTGTGCAAATCTTTATGTTATATTTACGCAAGTAAAATTGAAGAAATGTTAAGTACGATGACTAACTTCTCCATCGAAGGCCTTTTTCTATCAGTGTAGGGGCCAGGGCCGAGGGGCGTGCCGAGACAACAACTTAATTAAACGATTGCCAAAATTCATTTGGAGAGCTTTGGAGCCACAAAAACAAGTGTCATGTGAAACAAACTAAACTTATTTTGTAATTTGACGCAAACTTAAAAGCTGAAAACTAACTAACTAATGGAGGGAGGGAGGAAGGGAGGAGAGGCGGCAACGTGCCGGCATGACAGACAATAAACAAAACAAAAGGACGCAGACGATGAAGACGAACACAATGATGACGTGGCAGAGAAATGAAAGAGCAAACTTTTATTTTTAAATGGACGTGCGGCAACAAAAATAGGGGGAAACTTTAATTTATCTTGTTATAACATCAACATGCCGAGTGCAATGGTACAGGCAGAGGAGGGACGGCTCTGGGGCTACTGTTAGCCAAGTTAAAAATTTATTTTACACAAATTTCTTTTTTCACACTACACACAAACACACATACATGCATACCTTCTTCAGAGCTGAAGTGAAGAGTGTTTGTTTGTTGACTTGTTCTTTGGGTGTTGGCCCGATCGATTTCCTTCCTGTTCCTGGACTGCCGCTTTGAAGTGCCGCCCGCCACTTCACAGAGGTGCTTCACAACTTGAGCCAACATTTGAACGTCTCAGAGTTTTGCTGAGCAATGTGGTCAGAAGTTTCGTCAAGAACAATGACCCACAACGAAAAAAAAAAAAAAATAAAAATAAATAAAAAAATTGTCAATGACGAACTTTTAGGAACGCATGAAAACGCATTTTAGATTTAACCTAAAACATTCCTTAATTGAATTAAATAAAACAGGGAAGGGTATACTTGAAAATCGAATCAGGCAGATAGGGGCGTAACCTCTCGGTCTTTTTATAGGTATGATCACCAACAATTCTTGTACCATAACAGCGAGGGACCACAACCTGAAATCACCGGTTTTTATTTATTATATATATATATATATATATATATATATATATATATATATTGAATTCGGTGTATATACATATATATTTTTGAACTGCGCAAGATGTTGGCATTTGCTCGTTCTTTTGAAGCAAAAGTTTAAAACATTTTACAATATTGCAAAGTATTTCATCCACTCAACTAAAGTTTGTCTTTTGGTTAAATTTTAAATCGTTGTTATAGTAATTGTCCGCAAAATCAATGAAGCAATGGAGCGGACACGTAATATGTTTGATTCTTATTATATATTCATAGCAAAAACAGTTAGTTATATTTTCGATTCAAAGTCTCTCGGAAGGAAATAAATGAGCTGCTGGCTTAAGCTTAAAGCAAACAAGCCTGGAATTTTTCAACTGTATTGTATTGTGCCACATAGCCCAAAAGAGGTAGTCACATCTAAATATGTACATATATACTATACGTCTACACAAAGTATGTACATGGATATATACATTAGTATAGAGGCATGTGTTTTTGGCGTAGTTTTTGGGGAGAAACCTGTTGGAGTGTAGGAGGCTCACTAACTATGCAGCATTCATCTGACTGTCACTTCATTCCCTCAAGTAAACGTACATTAAGTACCAAAATTATTGAGTTCACTATAATGTAAGCAATGGCGATGGCAGGCAGCCATTATTGCTCGTAAGCTAGAGATGAGAGCGTGAAATGTTTGCTACTTTCGATTAATGGAACTACAGAAACAGTGTCTATAACAGTGACTTAATTATTACTGTCATGTAGAGCAGTGAAACAATCGCAACTTTTCGCATTTTAAGAGTTTTCCATTGTCAGATCGAATTTTTTTTTTTTTGGAGTAAATGAACGCTGGTTGTTTTAAAAATAATAATATTAATAGTATATTAATCAACAAATGCAAATACAAATCAAATTCAGCCTCACGACATACCTACGCTCTCCCAACTTTAAGCATTTTAAAAGTTTTCCATTGCCATATACAATTTTTTTTGTGGAGTATCAATATTTTCGAGCATCTTTAGCTTCTCTAGCAATTTATTTATTTTTTTTTTTTTAACGATGAATATATATATTAGTGACGAATTTACATCACTCCAATGGTTCGATATATCTTGATACGCAGCGCCTAAGGCTTTAAAACTGTAACGCAAACAAACTGTTGTATTCTTATGAAAAACTGAGTATTGCCTATTTATATTCGATTTTTGTTCGATTGCCATTTTTATATCGATCGCACAGGGTTACTTGGTGTGCGATAACTCGGCTTCTATTTATCCGATTGTCATCAAATGCCGATAAAGGAAGTGTGCAGTGAAGTCTTCCATCAATAAGGGGCACCAGCAGAAAGGGATGCTTTGAAAAAATCCTGTTTACTGTGGAATGCAGAACACAATCCGTAATTAATAAACAGCAACACTCTTTCGCCGTGTGTGTTGCACGAAAAACGCCATTTTGGTCAATTGATTTCCTTTCTTGCTCAGTCAATAAATAGAATTTGTGTAATCAATCACTGTCTTCGGTCTCACGATCAGGCAGTGAGACGGCCCTTCTCTAATGTAAGCACAACACACACACACACATTCACTCATACAGTCTTACAGTCAGTACAGTTGTGCGTTTTCTTCACCTCATGCCATGTCGCGCCATTGCCTTGTCTTGAGTTAATGATTCTTATGCGCATTTGAATGTCGTTGCCACAAATACAGAAACAGCATGCTGGAGGAGCAGGAACAGGAACAGGTATACGTGGCAGGAGTAGGAGTAAAATGCAGGAGTGGGAATAGAAACAGAAGTTGTTGTCCTCGATGTCTTTGGCTTCGTTCGCGTTCGCGTTCTCGCTTTCACTTTCACTTTCAGTTTCGCTTCTGCTTTCGTTTTCGTTCTCATAGCTCTGTGCTGTTGCCGTTGCTGTTGTTGTTTGTGTGTGAAAATGAGCGAAGTAAAAAGGAAAATTTGCTTTTGTCAGCAACCAATGCGCCTTGAAGCTGTGAAATGTCACGCGCACTCACGCACACACGCGTGCAATAACAGAAGCTAAAACAACAAGAAACAAAAACAACAAACCCACACACACACACACACACACACACACACACACACACATGTGTACATCTGTGTGAGCGCTGCGGGTAATAAATTTGATTGCGTTGACAACTGCGTCAACGGGAGAAGCAACAGCTAAGCAGACAAATAGACCGACAAACAGACAGACGTGCAAACGTGCAAACTTTCAAACATTGCATTACATTCAAACAAACAGCTGGCAGAGTCCGAACCGAACCGAACCGGAGAACCGACCACACAGCACTTACAGCATTAAATTAATGCCAAACAATTTGTAAAATTATATTCCACTGCCATTTTCCAAGAAAAGCAAACAACAACAACAACATTGAAAGAAACAAAAACAATGACAAGAAACTGTAAGTTTGATTTGTACTTTCCCTACAATTAATGTCCTAATTGCTTCAGGCGGCGGCCATTTTGTCCACCTGAGCCAACATTTCTCCACTGCCTGTTTGCCATTCACACATCACTTTCTCGACTCGCCATTAGATTGTTGAATCGATTGTGAAAACATTGAGCACCTGCCACTTAATGTCCGGACTCAGTCCTTTAGCGATAATAATCAGTTCGTAAAATACAAATACACGTAAATAAAATGGTTGTATTGCTTCAAGGATTGCTTCAAGTACACCATTTTTATTTGTAAGTAGTACTTATATACACCAAATCTTTCGCAGTACATACCGCATTTAGAATCTGTTGCAACTATGAATAATTTTCATAAATTCTAGAGCAGATTATGTACTCGAAGATTCTAGAAATCATTTTAATCATCAA